ATATTGATGCAGAGAAAAAATTAGATTCAGTGCTGAAGCGAGTGAACAAATTAGGGATGTCAGCAGACAAAATCCTACATGCATTTCAAGAACACGGTAAGTTTCTTTTTTAAGTATAAAGACATAAATTGATACATAAGTTTCAAATAATAATACACGGAAACAGAATCCGGATCTAATTTACAACCTCTTATACAGGAAGGGATGGTCAAACATATATATATGTACATATATGCTGATGTATGTGTGTACGTAATGAAAATTGCAGTGAGAGTGGCGGTGAAAGAGAAGTTGAGAAGCGTGGGAATGGGTGGAATGGAGAAAGTGTTCAAGAAGGTTTTTAGTGTTGGAGAAGTAGAAAGATTGATTAAGGATAGTTGTTGTGAATGTTATTTATCAACTACAGCTGGTCCCATTGCAGGCCTTCTCTTCATCTCCACCCAGAAGCTTGCTTTTTGCAGTCATACCTCCATATCTTTCTGTTCTCCTAAAGGAGATTCTCTTACACTCCAATATTACAAGGTAACTATTTAATTTATATTTAATTAATCTGAATGTTTATATATATAAATATATATAATATTAACGTTAATGCATAACATTGCATGCAGGTGTTGATTCCATTAAGAAAGATAAAGAGAGTGAATGTGAGTAAGAATGTGGAAAAGCCATCACATAAGTATATTGAGATCGTCACAGTGGATGATTTTGACTTCTGGTTTATGGGTTTCTTAGACTATCAAAAAGCCTTCAAGCGGCTTCACCATGCAATTTCTCAATTATCATAATTAATTAATACCAGAACTTGTAATTAGGGAAGGATCAATTTTAAATAATGCTCAACATCATTATCTGTAAATTCTCTCATGATATACAATGTTCTAGATTGAACTAAACATGATTATGTAGATTTTAAATCAAACCGATCACAATTTTTGCTGTAATTTTAGAGAGAGAATTTAGAGAGAGAGAGAGCAAGAAAACAGAGTGTGCGTATGCGTGCTCCTCTGCTTTCTGGTTTCTCTTAAACTCCAAGAATTTTGAGAGGAAAGAACTTTTTTTTATTGATTGATTTTAAGTGGTATTTATACACAAAATTAAATTAAAGTTCTACTCAAAAATATAATTCGAATTCTAACCAAAAACAAACTTTAAACACAAAATTTAAAGTAATCCTAAACCGCATGCATGTCGTTGTTCTATATGCATTCTGCCACCTCTCTATTCGGAGCTTTATTTCAAATAGATTTCTATTTCAAATGAAATCCTTACGTCGAACACTCCTCCTTAAGGATTTAATTTATTCCCAATATTTTCCTTAGTTCTTAAAATTTACCTTTCAGCAAAGACTTGGTAAAGATGTCTGTTACTTGATCTTCTGTTGCACAGTATACTAGGCTTACTTCTTTCTCCTTTTCTGCTTCCCTTATAGCATAGAACTTAACCTTTATATGCTTAGTCTTTCCATGCAACACCGGATTCTTAGCAATGACTATTGTTGATTTATTGTCGATGTAGAGGACTGTAGGTTCAGTGGAAAGCATCTGTAAATCATCTAGTATTTTTCTTAACCATTGAGCTTGATTTACAGCTCCTGCTGCTGCTATGTATTCAGCTTCGGCGAATGACTATGCAACAATTTCTTACTTCTTTGATGACCATGAAAACACACAGGAACCAAGTGAAAAAATATACCCCGATGTACTTTTAGCATCCTCCACACTTCCTGCCCAATTACTGTCCCTGTATCCTAAAAGTTCTCCTTCTGTGTAAGCTTGAAAATGGATTCCTAGATCAGTGGTTCCTCTTACATATCTTAAGATATGCTTAACTACTGCCATGTGTGATTGTCTTGGTGAATTCATAAACCGAGATAACAAGCTGGTTGCATAAGTAAGATCTGGTCGAGTGGCAGTTAGGTAGAGTAAGCTGCCAATTATACTCTTAAACTCTTTCTCATTCACCATTTCTATTTCTTCAGCTTTTGACAGTTTAATATGTGGTATGAGAGGGATAGAAACAGCTTTGTAATTTTTAAGCTTGAATTTTTTAAGTAATTCCCTCGCATACTTTTTTTGTGATATAAAGATCCTTTTCTTAGATTGAATGATCTCCATTCCTAGAAAATAGGTCGCTCTCCCAAGATTTAACATATCAAATTCCTGCTCTAATTGTGTTTTGAGTTCCTCTATTCTTTGTTCATCATTTCTAGTGATGAGAATATCATCAACATACAGTTATGATGACAATTTTTCCATCCTTTAAGTGTTTGACATATAGGGTTGCTTCGTTCTTACTTCTTTTAAACCCACAGTGGAGCAAGTATGCATCAATTTTGCCATACCATGCTCTGGGAGCTTGCTTCAAACCATACAGTGCTTTGTGTAATTTATACACATGATCAACCTTCTTTTCTACTTCAAATCCTATCGGTTGCTGGACAAATATGTTCTCTTTCAATTCACCATTTTAAAAAGCAAATTTTACATCAAGGTAGAAGATATGCCAACCTCTTTATGCTGCCACAGCAAGCAGAAACCTTATCGTTTCATGTCCTGCTATTGGGGTAAATGTCTCCCCAAAATCCACTCTCGGCAATTGAGCATAACCTTTCATTACTAGGCGTGCTTTGTACTTATTGATTGAGCCGTCTGGGTTCATTTTGAGCTGGAAGACCCATTTAACTCTGATTGCATTTTTACTTTTTAGTTTGGGAACTAGAGACCAAGTGGCATTTTTCTTAATCATGTTCAATTCTTCTTCCATTGCTTTTCTCCAAATCTCATGTTGAGTAGCTTCTTCAAAAGTTGTTGGCTCTGCAACGAAAATGTTGCATTGAGCATAGATGTCAGATAAGCTTCTTGTCCTTTTATTTGGTGATTTTTGTGACTCTTGATTACTCATTTCTTCATTTTCTTCTTGAGCTTGCTTTGAAGTACAACTTATATCATCAAAGATTATCTTTTTAACTTTCCAATCCCAGTGAGATGTTTCATCAATTACCATATCCCTTCTTATCATAACCTTTTTGGTCTTAGGATTGAAGAGCCTGTATCCTTTTGTTTTTATACTATAACCCAAAAAGATACAAATTTCTACTTTGTCATCTAGCTTCTTCCTTTTCTCTTCTGCTACATAACAGTAGCAGATGAAACCAAACACCCGTAGATGCCTTGTAGCAGGCTTCCTTTCACTTCAGCATTCATATGAGGTCTTTCCCTCAACAGCCCGAGAGGGAAGTCAGTTCAACAGGTATACAGAGGTGTTCATGGCTTCACACCAAAATTGCAGAGGCAGCATTTTATCCTTGAATAAGCTTTTTGCCATATCAACCACAGTTCTGTTCTTTCTTTCTGATACTCCATTTTGTTGTGGAGAGTAGGGGCTGTAAGCTGTCGTTTTATGCCTTCTTTAATACAGAAATCCTTGAACTCTGTTAAAGTGAACTCCAGACCATTATCTGATCTCAAACACTTCAGCTTCATTCCACTTTCTACTTCTGTTTCAACTTTGAACTCCTTGAATTTTTACAGAGCTTTATTCTTTGTTTTTAGGAAATAGATCTATGTCATTCTGGAGTGATCATCAATAAACAAGATGAAATACCTATTGCTGCTTGGTGACTCTGTGCTCATAGGACCATAGATGTCTGTGTGGATCAATTCAAGCTTGGTACTTGCTCTCCAGGAAGACTTTGAAGGGAATAGTTGTTTGTGCATCTTCCCAAGTTAGTAGATTTGGCAGATCCAGTTTTTCTCCTATGATTTCAAGGAGATATGGACTCAATTTTAATGAGTTCATCTCCTTGAGGGCTTCAAGATGCACATGTCCAAATCTTCGATGCCATATAATGGTATCGTTTTGAGCAGCGCACCTTAGTTTTTCTTCACTCCTTGCAACTTCAAAGTGAAGCTTCTGTTGATCATTGGAATGTTTGCAATTTCATACCCATGTGAGTCTTTTATGGAACATGAATTTTCCTTGAAGACCACGGTGTATCCCCTTCTAATTATTTGGCTTACACTTAACAGATTTTACCTCAGGTCAGACATATACAGGATGTCAGGTATGATCCTTTTTCTTTGGTTTGTGGTTACTGCGATGTTTCCTTTTCCTTCTGCTCTTAATTCATTTCCATCACCTAGAGTTATGTTGAGTTTTGTATCCTTATTAAGA